AATCTGATGGGTAGTCTGATGGTGGTTTTGCAGCTGTTTTGTCCTCTGGAAGACTTGCTGGAATTTTTTTTCTTTCATAAATGTATTTCACTGCCCTCTTCAAGTCCTCTGTTGCCTCTCTCTGTTTGGACTGTGAAGCTGTTTCAGGCTGTGAATCCAACTGTGTTCTGAACAAGTTCCTGTTCATTTGAAAGATGTGCCACTTTGCAATGTTCTTATGAGGGCATGGCATACAGTATGTGGCTTAGCACGTAGACAATGCCATGTGTTTGTTCTTCATATTGAATGTAACCATCACTCTTCCAAGGCGACTGAAATGATATGTTGTGGATTCATGGATGGATAAACGAATATAAGACTTTGACCCACCAAGATCAACAAGGACAGAAAAAGGTGCTCGAGCTTTCAATGCTAATCTTTGTCTCTTCAAGCATACTGCATGCAACCATTTCATCCAAAACCCTTGCATGTAGAATCTCTTCCCCTGCTACTTCTGTGCAGTATTCCAGTGAACGAATGTGGTGGCACTCATTGAACACAAGACGACTCCTGCGTGCTAATAACTGATATTGCCAACATTCCTCCAGTTCACACTTTACCCCATGTTCGTGGCCTTAATTTTTTTTGAACATGAATAGGTGTTGAAAATCCATGTCCTGACTTTTAAACTGCAGCAATAGCATTTTTTGCATCAACACAAACACTGGCAAAATGTGACTGCCTATTCACATCTTTTGGTGTGCATAAGTGCTTCCTAGTAATGCGAGTGTGTAGATTCTTTTTATGTAACAGCAGCGAACAGTGTAGACATTTCACCTTTATTGGTTTTATGAATGAGGACAGATGGGAAGATTCTACTTGTTTTGTTGAGGGCAACATTCATCCCCTTCAGGCTGTGGAGAGGAAGACTTTGCTTTTTGAAGCAATGGAATGGGAGGTAAGGCTGAAGTAAGCCTGAGGACACATTAGTCTTTATGGTCACACCGCTGCACTTTTCAAGGTGCTCCACAAAAGTGTTTCTTTTAGTCACTGTTTCACTGCACCTAAGGCAGTGGAAATTACCATCCTTTCTACAAGGTAGAGTGCATCTGCAAATTCTCAAGTCTGCAAGAACAAAAACACTGGTTTTAATTGTTTGTGTCCAATATAATTTATCACTTCAAATAAAAAGAAAACACATTAACTTACTTTCGAAAAACACTGCATTTTTATATGCACATCCAGGTAATTACCTTCTCCATTACCTTCTCCTCCTAGTGAGCAAACCTGTGAAGCTTGCAGTGCCCCCTCCCCTCTGCTTTCAGGGCTGTGGTTTCAGCGTGTTGGTGGGAATGTGTGAGCGTATCCTGCCATTTATTGCGTGCTCTGGTGTGTAATGTCGCATGTTCTCTCGTTTTTATGTTTCGCAGGTTCGGCTGCATGTGGCAGCAGGAGTGATTGTTGCTCTCTTGGTTTCCATCTTGCAGTCCCTGGCGATTCTGCTGCTTTGTCTACAGTAAAGTTTGATTTCTTCGTTTGACGGCCCTTCCGAAGGTGCAATTGGGAGGATCGCGATCACATTTACTGGAGCAGCGGGAGGAGGCCCCGGGGAAGACCTAGGACACGCTGGAGGGACTATGTCTCCTAGCTGGCCTGGGAACGCCTCGAGATTCCCCCGGAGGTGCTGGTTGAAGTGGCCGGGGGGAGAGGGAGGTCTGGATTTCCCTGCTTAGACTGCTGCCCCCACGACCCGACCCGGAAAAGCGGTAGATGATGGATGGATGGAGCAGCGGGGTTGAAGTGGGCAGCAGTCTGAATTGTAGGAGGTGGGTTTTTTATGTGTTGCACTTGTTTCCACTAGCGGTGTGTTCATGAGTGGCGTGTAGCATCTGGAGGTTGGCCTCTATCCAGCCAGCCACAGTGAGGCCCAGTGCTGCTCCTTGGTGCTCCGTTTTCATTTGTATTTTAATGGCCTAAATGGCTTTTAATGTATTGCGTGTGTGTGTGTGTGTGTGTGTGTGTGTGTGTGTGTGTGTGAGGGGCGGATGTTGGCAATGCCAATCAGTGTGCCCATATAATTTTTTTAAACTGCCCTGTTACGTTGTTGAATAAACTTCTGTATTTTTATGTGGGAAAATCATGTCTCTGGTGTAAAGAACTTGCGGTCTTATTCAAACTGCCTTTATGGCATTTAATGTGGTTGTGTGGTCACACATGGATGGAGACTTTTCTACTATAAATATACACTATAATTGTGATGACCGGTGGTAGGTGAGTAGGCAGGAAGCGCGGAAGGACGAAGTAGGCAGATGAGGATTTAGGAAATGGGGTTTTAATAAGGAAAGCATAAATTACAACAACCACATGGAACAAACATCAAAGACTGATCTGGGGAAACACACTTGAACGCGGACTTAAATACACAAGACAAGCAGAAAATCACACAACAGGTGATTACAATCGGGAATTAAAACGAGGTAACGAGGGGGCCGTGGCACACAGGAGGATCGAACGAGCAGGGCGTGACAATTATGCCTCCTCAGGAACCAAGTAACGAAATGACTGGTCAAGAAAACTGTGGGTGCGTGGGGAAGGAAAAGATGAAACTGGGAGACTTCCCTTGGAAAGTATATGATAAGAGAAAGTGTGTAAACGACGTGTGTAACATGGCATTAGACACACTTCTGCAGAGTGTCCAGCCTTGGTTGTAACTTTGTTGTCGCAGTAAAGATTGAATCTGAATATCTACACTAGCAGGCTCCCGACTCTTGATTCACTGAGAGGAAAAACCACAAAACCTTCTTTATTGCGTGTCTATTAATGGATACTTTTTTTCATTAGGTAGCAATGTATGTCGAGATACAGTGTGGGTACATTTCTAGGAGAGCTGATTGATAAGTAAGTTCTCCTACCACGTGGCATCTCTGGTACGGGGGGGGGGGGAAAGATTGCTTGTGTATTTGGTAGCCGATACTGTAGTGTAAACGAGCTTAGTTTCAATTCAATTTTCGAATACCCTAAAGCAATAGTGTTCACTAGTAATGAGTGCTACATCCGAGTTATGTATAAAGCAGTGTCAGAGAAACGGTTTTTGACACTAGAAGTTTGTGCACCAGTCGAAATTCATAGGCAGATGAAATCAATTTATAGTGATGGTTGTATAGATGTGAAAAATGTACATAAGTGGGTCCAACGTGCCAAAAATCTGTAGTAAAGGTGTGATGAGTGTCTCTGATGAGCAAAGACCAGGATGACTCTTTTCAGCTCGGTCCCATGACAACTGACACACTCCATGAAGGAACACAGAAAAACTGTTTCACATTAACGGATGTGGTTTCGAAGGGGATGATTCCCTCATGAATATTGTCACTGGTGAAGAATCTTGGGAGAATTATTATGATCCAGAGAACAAAAGGCAGTTCATGGAATATCGCCACCCGGGTTCTCTAATTGTTTGGGATGCAAGGGGTATGATTGACATGGAATTAAACTAAAGGAACAACAGTCAATTCCGAAAGGTATTGTGAAGTAATGTGTCCACAGAATCAGACCAGAAAGAAAAACATTTCTTTTGCGTCACAAGACTCACGTTGGCCAGGCTTCAGTGGACAAACAATGGAAGCAGTGATAATCCTGTACCTCACTATTGTTCCACGCCACACCCTGCTTACAGCCCAGATTTGTCTCTCTCCGACTTCTAGTTGTTCCCAAAATTGAAGGAAACGTTGAATGCAAAACATTTTTTCTCGGACGGTGACGTTGAAGCTGCTGTGTGCAAATGGATCAGAAATCAACCAGAAATGTTCTTCATGGACAGAATTAAAAATGGATAGCACATTTGGAAAAATGTGCAGCAGTAAATGGGGACAATGTTGAAAAATGTTTACACCGTTTAAGAAAAAAAAATTCTCCATTTTGGTATCACTTTTATTATTTTACATTATCGGAAACTTATTTTATACAATTGGAGACCTAGCTTATCAACCAAGCCTATAGTATTACGTGTCATTTGCTTTTCTATAGTGCTCTCCGCAATTACTGACAACCCTTGTGAAGATCAATAAAAAGGCTAGAAAAAAATCCACCTCTTGGTGAAGTAGCTTTATCTCACATTGAAAAAAAGTATCCAACCATTAACTGAAATTTATTCAGAGAAAAACAAACCTTGCTGTTGTAGTGTCTTTTGTTAAAAATAATTTCTTTATGAGGGATTTGTTTTTTTTTCCTGATGCAACAGTGAGTCTGAACCACTGCAGCATCACACTTTGAAGGTTGCGGGTCGGAACCCTATTATTATGTGCATGGCTTTTCTCCTGAAGTCTGAAGAAATGTGGCATAGAAAAACTAGTGTCTCTAAATTAATTACCCATTATGCCTGCCCTGTTCATGATGGGTGACTGGAAGGCGGGTGGATGGAAATATGCGTTAGGAAATATACACACTTCTTATGACTTAAGTAATGCATGTAAATATTACCCATTGATGAAGGGCACTCAACAAAAACACTGTCTGTCAAGATGCCTGGTTTCACTCACTATCTGCTACCACCAGATGGCAGATTTTTCATACTGGTAGGTGTTCAATGAGGTCAGTGTCAGACATTATAAAATCAGTGGGTAAAGAACAGGGGAAAAGACTTATGAGCAAAATACACGCAGTCAAATAATCAAATATCCAATAGTTCTAAGTCAATGAAATAGTCAACTAACTATGATCATTAATTAGGGATAATGCAGTTTTTTTTAGCATGGCTTTATGTTTTTCTGTTCAACCATCACTGTATATAAATATCTATAAAGATTATATAAAGGTATAATCTTTGAAGAAAATTTGTTTCAGACACTTTGGGTGACTGTGTTGGGGTGGATACCATATCCACCCCATATGGAAGTTGCGGCTAGATGGCAGTGCGCAGAGATGCAGCGGCTCGGTGCTCTTCGGTGTGGCTGTTCGCGTGTGTGTTCTGCGGGCTCTTGATGTCCTTCTGCTTGGCAAATATCATCTACAGCCGACAAGATCTCCTAAGGATAGGCTTCTGGAGCGAGGAGAGGGTTACAGCCGACTTTCTCTGCTCACATAACATTCCGGCCGACATAGCCAGGCCTCCGGGCGTTCCGTGGTTCATCATCCCGGCCAACAGGAGGCGGCGGCGCAGGGAGAGGATGCAAAAGCGGGGCTGCAGAGCCGGCGCTAGCGAGGCTACGTAGGAAGCCGAATGAACCACCGCTTCCCAGGATTTTTCTCGCTGATGCGAGGTCCAACGCAAACAAGATGGATGAGCTGGAACTGCAGATTGTAACGACCAAAATCATCAGGGACAGCTGCATTCCGTTAATTACAGAAACCTGGCTTCATTCACTCATCCCGGACGAGGCTATTGGGCTAGCGGGTTACACAGCATATCGGCAGAATACCGGTAAGAGCAAAGGGGGGGATTATGCATTTATGTGAACGATGGCTGGTGTGCCAATGCCATGGTGATAGCCAGCCACTGCTGTCCGGACCTGGAATCTGTCACCGTTAAATGCAGACCCATATACCTCCCGCGGGAGTTCCCCGTCATCCTGATAACTGCTGTGTATATACCACCTGATGCTAATGCTAGCGTGGCTGTCAGACATTTGTATCAGCAAACAACAAAGCATGTATCCTGAGGCTGTTTTCATCATAGCTGGGGATTTTAACCATGCGGATTTAAAGGCAGTGCTCCCTAAATTTCATCAGCATGTAGAGTGTGCAACCAGGGGACCTAATACACTGGACAAGGTATATACCAACATGCTACAGGGCTAAGCCACTGGCTCACCTTGGCCTGTCGGACCATATATCTCTGCTGTTAATCGCTGCTTACTCCTCCCTCAGGAAAAGAACTCTCAGCATTACAGAGACTGTTACGACATGGCCTGAAGGTGCCCCTCTCCAGCTGCGGGATTGCTTCGAGAGAACCAGATGGGATATCTTTGAACATCAGGACCTGGAGGAATACACAGTAGCAGTCTTAGGCTATATCAAGTTCTGTATGGACACTGTCACTGTGGATAACTACTGTATATACGGGTCTATCCCAACCAGAAGCCCTGGATGACAAGGAACGTCCAGAACCTGCTGAAGGAGAGAAACTCAGCGTTCAGGTCTGGGGATGGGGCACAATACAGTGCTGACAGAGCCAACCTGAAATGGGGCATTAAAGAGGTTAAGGCAGCATACAGCAAGAGGATAGAGGACCAACTAAGCAGTAACAACACCAGGCCGGTATGGCGGGGGCTTCAGCATGTCACTGGCTACAAGTCCAGCAACCTATCTGCTGCAGAGGGTGAAGCTTCACTGGCAGAGGAGTTAAACTTCTTCTTTGCCCGCTTCGACGTGTACTCCAAGGAAGATCCATTATATCCACTCACCGGCAACGGCAACACACTAACGCTGGAGGACTGTGATGTGAGGCGTACAGTGAGAGCAGTGAATATGAGGAAAGCCCCAGGACCTGACGGGGTCACTGGACGAGTGTTGAAAGACTGTGCAGACCAGTTGGCAGCGGTTTTTACAAATATCTTCAATCACGCCTTGTCCCAGTCCACCGTACCACCCTGCCTGAAGTCCTCTGTCATAGTCCCACTGCCCAAAAAACCCAGAATAACAAGTTTAAATGACTACCGCCCAGTGGCACTCACACCGATTGTTATGAAGTGTTCTGAGAAGCTTGTGCGGAGTCATATAATTGCAGGCCCGCCACCAGTTATGGATAAGTACCGATTTACATAAAGGGCAAAAAGATCCAAAGAGGATGCGGTTGCTACAGCTGTCCATGCTACCCGGACCCGCCTGGAGCAGCGCGGGAGCTACGTGAGGCTTCTCTTTGTGGATGTTAGCTCAGCTTTTAACACCATATTGCCCAAAGAAGTGGTGTTCAAACTGACAGTCCTGGGCCTTTCACCATCCATGTGCTATTGGATTCTGGACATCCTGTCGGGTCGCTCCCAGAGGGTCAGAGTAGGCCCAGACACCTCCACAGCTCTCAGCCTAAGCACTGGCTCCCCACAGGGCTGTGTGTTGAGCCCCCTGATATATACACTTTACACCTATGACTGCACCCCCGCCCACCCCAGCAATACTATAGTAAAGTTTGCGGATGACGCCACGGTGGTTGGACTTATCTCCGGGGGGGGAGGAGTCGGCTTACAGGGATGAGGTGGAGCAGCTGTCCAGGTGGTGCAGGGATAACAGCCTGGTCCTTAACACCGCAAAGACCAAGAAGCTGATCGTGGACTTCAGGAGGGACAAAACAGACATCCAACCACTCTACATCAACGGAGACTGGGTGGAGAGGGTCTCAAATTTCCGGTTTCTGGGGATCCAGATCGAGGAGGATCTGACCTGGAGCGCCAACACTACGGAGCTGATAAAGAAGGGACAGTAGAGACTCCACTTCCTGAGACTTTAGGAAGAACCACCTCTCCCAGAAGCTGCTGGTAACCTTCTATCGCTGCTCCATTGAAAACGTACTAACTTACTGCATGTGTGTGTGGTATAACAGCTGCAGAGTTGCAGAGAAGAAGGCGCTCCAGAGTCGTCACTACAGCTCAGAAAACTCCTGGTTGTACTCTCCCCACCCTAGAAGAACTTTATGTTTCCCGCTGCTCTGAAAAGGCAAAAAAAAAAATCCTTAACGATCCAACACATCCAGGACACTGTCTGTTTCAGCTGCTGCCCTCGGGCAGGAGATTCAGAGCAATAAAAACAAGGACAAACCGGTTAAAAAACAGTTTTCATCCTAAGGCAATTATGCTAGTGAATGCTGAAATGAAATGATATAATTTCTGGTGTTATCGAAGAAAGGGGTGTGTGGGCGAAGGTGGAGGGGCCAGAATGAATGTATGAGTATTTACGTATTTATTAAGTTATCTTGGATCACAGGGGCAACTGGGTCCAAACACCATCACCTCTGTTTTCTTTTCATTAAAATGTAAAAAGTTTAAGGCCAACCAAGCTTTAATGCCATCTAGACAAGCCAAAACAGGTTTTATGGAGAGTGCATCCTTCTGTTTCACGGGTCGGCCATCTAGGATGTCAGTCTCCAAAGCCGCAGTGGTGACGGACGGGAAGAGCTCCGGCTGCACGGCGCAGCAGGTCACGCTGGCACTCAGCGGGATTTCCGTGACACCCTGCACCATTTTGGAACACCCCCCTCGGCCCTGGAATCCTCTTGGCAGTGAGTGTGAACGGAGACCACCAGGTGGGCCTCTGTCAAAAAGCAGCTCATGCAGTGCCGGCACCCTGGGGATGAGGGAGACGTGACATGCCAGTCTCTCCAGGTGAGTACGAGGCCTTGCAGGACCACAAGCCCATTACGACGTGCCAAGGACAGGGAGATAAATTGCAATGTCAACGCTGCTAAGGCAGAGAAGCCAGGATCCAAGTCATAGCTGTCAAGTCTCCTGTTTTGGCCGGGAATCTACCGTATTTTACCCCTCTTTCCCGCCGTCCTCCCGTATTAGTATTTTCCCGTAAATCTCCCGTATTATAATATCATTTGAAAAAAAATTCCTCTGCCTCTCCAAACTGAACTGTCAGTAGCCTCGCGAGCTCAACAAGGATACAAAGTCTGCAACAAATCAGTATAATAAGTCATTAGTGAATGCCAGAGAGTCACATGAGTGAGCATGAGAAATTACAAGAAAATGTGTAATGAAAATAAAATGTAAATGACAAGTGGTTATTTTAGATTTCTTGTACACCTGTCTTAAAATGTAAGGGATACTGGAGCTTGGTTGGGGTGGTGGGATGGCTCGCAGTGGGTGCCGGAAAATTTCCCTTATTTTCGAATCCAAAACTTGACAGGTATGATCCAGGTAGACTACAAGGGCGCAGTTGCATGCGTGGAGAACACCGTCCGTGTCAGTGCAGGAACAGCACTAGCATGTTAGTCAGAACCAAAACAGACCCCAGCAAGCACTGACCCAGCACAGTTCAGTTACGGTGCCTGAACCACCTGTAGATCAGAGTGAACAATAGACAAATGCTTTCCTTGTGTCTGTTAACAGCAGTAAAATACCCATTCACTCCTCACAGCTTATTATTTATTGGGACAATTTGCCCTTTATGACACAGAAAAGAAGCACTCCCATAGCCCCAGGGGGAAAAAAAAGAAAGATGGGTTTACTTGAAGGTTTGTTGAAAACCTTGATGACAGGCAGAAAAGGAGTTTCACACAAGCATAACCATGAAAAACAAATAAAGTTTGTAAGAGACAATAAGAAAAATGAAACCCAATTTTGAAAGTTCAGTGGTAATTTAGTCAAAGAGAAATGCTCTGGCTCTTAGGGGCAGATTTTATGCGGTGTTCTGGGTTACTGAGCATGGAAAACAACCAAAACTATATCAACCCGATATACGCCGATTTACTGACAGCCACTCATAGCCTCACCACAAGACAGAAAGGTATCTTTCATAAAGGTTTGTTTATGTTGTCAGCATTTGCGGAGCCTTGTTCTTCTTAACTTGCAATGAATGGTCTACTTTTAAATGTGTAAAAAAGCAGGAACCTTTAACACATTGGCTTTATGCCATGGGAATGAATTTTCCATCGATCTTCCAACCACTTTTCCTGGTCAAGGTTAGAAGGGGACCTGGAGTCGCTCTCAGACAGCATGTGGCTCAAAGCTGAGGTATAACATGGCAATCGAGTCCATCAGTCGGACACATCAACACCACCTGGAGCTCCCTCTACCATTTGCGGCGTGTCACTTCACACGGTTCTGTTGTGTAGCTCATTCGATGGCGGCCGCCAAACCACTTCCAGTCGTCAGACTCCCTTTCCTCCTTCAAGAAACGTATCAAGACCCATCTGTTCCATGACAGGTATGATCCACATGTAAATCTATGAGCAACTCAGAGAGGCCAGTCAGCCTTACCACGTGTCTTTGTACTGTGGGAGAAAACCAGTACCACAAAAGGGGAAAATGCATATTTTACACACTCAGAGCTCCCACGCACAAAAAAAGACATGAATGAATCACTGAAATACTTTTCAGGTGGTGGTCAGAATGATGAAAGCTGTGAGGTTTACTGCCTTGGCCTAGGTCTTCACCTTTGAACTTAGTTTAACTTCCATCCATCCTACTTATCCAAACGACTATAACTACTTATCCAAAGCAGTAGAGCGGAACACTGGATAGATTATTTGCTCTATTTTGTGGGTAGAAGGTACATACAAATAATGACATTTTTTACACTACATACTCACACATACGCACTGATTACAGCTGCAGTCTGAAAATCACATCTGAGATGAGTGTGGTCAGTCGGAAAACGTTTCCGAGAGAGGAAATGAATTAATAACTCACATCAGATTTAACTCAGATCCGTTTGGCCGGAGTGGGTGGACTGATTAAAAGCAGCACATCTGGTAATTAGTAGCAGTTCTGGCATACTCAGTAACGGCGGATGGTGGTGGGGGGTGAGGGGGGGTTGGGGTAGGGTTTATGAGCTTATGTTGCATGGCGTCCCTTTCGGCTAAGCAACTGGCAAAAAAAAAATCTGCAAGCAACAGGAAACATTAAATGCTACTGACATTTTACAGAAGAGTGCTGAGCGACATTTTCAATTTCAGACAAGTGCACACATATGCACACGCATTTACATGTATGTGACACTTCTATTACCATGGAGATAGTCTGATAATTTTGGGTTTATAATGGAATGATATAGATTTGCTGTAAGATTGCTTGTGCGAGTGTGAGAGTCTGAAAGCATGAGCGTCACGGCAGATGCGTGAGATCTGGCAACCCTGCATGTGTCTGCTGCAGATAGGAGTTCACACACGTGTGCATAACCCTGTGCCTGTACACACACATACACACACACACACACAAACACGCACATACATATAAACATTTACTCACGTGCACTTATCCCCATGCGTGGACATTGTCTGTTAGGATAAAGCAATTCATCAATGAATGTGTCCTCACATGTTGTCGATGGGAGTATCTGCTAGAATAGTTGTAAAACTATTAAATATCCTTACCTGAAAAAACCTGGAAAAAGTGGGGACTAAACTTATCAGCTGATTATTGAAAAGAAGCAAAAACACCATCAACAAATAGATCAACAATAGTGACTACACCTATCTGAGACTAGATTCCAAAGGGTTTTTAGAGAGAGGCATTGACAACAGTATGGAAGACTGGATTCCGAATTATTTACGGAATAGCGGCCAAAATCCGCATTGTGGCCTTTGCCATGACTTTTTTTACAGGACCTAGATATACTGAAGACGGATGGGCATAAAATTAAAGCCGCAAGTGAAGCTGGAGCACAAGAAAAAGATCCAATTAAACACCAGGCTGGTGTATTTGTCTCTCCCTGCTGCCCCCTGGAGGATGGGCTCCCCCTCTGAGTCTGGTCCTTCCCAAGGTTTCTTCCTTCTGGGGAGTTTTTCCTTTTCCTGTCGCCTATGGCTTACTCACTGGGGGCTTTGGGTGGGGATGCTGTAAAGCGCTTTGGGACAATGTAATGTTGTGATAATGCGCTATACAAAAATAAATTTGTTGTTTGTTGTTGTTGTTGTGAAACGGCAGGACCAACCTGAATCCAATAGTGATTCAGAGTTCTGCAAAAATTTTTGCATAACCGTGGAGCTTTCTTATTCCAGATAAACTCAGAAACCAAGGTGTCAATTTTATAAAAGAAAGACTTGGGAATTCAAGTAGGGATACATTGTATAAGATAAAGAAGTTTGGGAAGGATGTTCATTTTAATTGAGTTTATTCGGCCGGCTATAGATATAGGTAAAAGAGACCAACGTTGAAGATCTTCTCTAATTCTTGTGCAGAGTAAGTCAAAATTGTATTTAAACAGTTTATTAAATTTATCACTGACAGTCACCCCCAGATATTTAAAACCACTGTAAGTCACTTTAAATGGCAGTGAAGACAACGGATTTACTGGGAAGGCTTCACTCTTATTCTTACACCTAGACATTTCCTCAAACTTTCCCAGTATTGTAAGAATGTGTGGGAGGCCGATGTAGTGACACAGGGGTGAGCAAGGTTACCTCACAGCAAGAAGGTCCTCATTGCCTGTGAGGTTTAGAATTGAGTTTAAAATGTTGTTGATTGTTTTTAAAGCACTGAAGGAGTTGGCACCCGAATATCTCACCGAACTGCTACACTTTAATACTCCGGCCAAAGCACTTAGGTCATCTCAACAGCTTCTGCTAAAAGTTCCTAAGACCAGGCTGAAGACCAGAGGCGACCA